AGTGGATCTGTCTGAGGCATCTTCTGCTTGGTCATCTGCCTGATTCATTTTCCACGTCTCGCCCTTAAACAGGGCCGACAGGACCAGCGTCTTCTACAGGTCCAGTTTAGTTCCTGATGATCATCAAGATCTAGACAGAATGAAGACTTGAAGATTTAGACTTTGCTGAGGTAACTGTACCGTCTGTGGTAGGACGTCCTTGGAAAAGGTATCATTCGTAGTGGTTCATGGGAAAAGTAGTTCCTTCACTCATTTAAATACTGATGTTCGCAGTCTGGGACCTTCTTTGTCTCTTTAACATTTTTCTTGCAGATTCAAAAGTTTTTACGGTCATGGTTCATATCGTAGCTGGTTGGATCAGTTCAAGGCTTAAAACTCTTTAAATAAGGTTTTTTGGGAAAGTCAATGGATTAAGAGAAAAGAACCGGAGGCGTGAAAGAAGAAGAGGTCGCAGCTGACTGTCGTTGCTGGTTTAGCTGATGGACTGTTTTAGTCTCTGCCAGCTTTTAAACAGCAGCGTCGGTGCTACTGCTGCTTTAGCGTTGCTCTTTGTCTGTCTGTGGCTGCAGCACAGTAGCTGCTCTGGAACACATGTTGAGGATGTGAGGATCAGACTTCCCTGCATCTCTGGATCATGATCCTGTCTCTGCTGATGGGTCCAGATGGACCTGATCCAGGATCTGAGCTCACTGCAGCTTTCATCCTTCACCTTAAATAACCTTTCTTCTCCGTTCACGCTGGCTGTAGCTTCCAGCTCCTGAAGCATTTACAGACCAGCAGCCTGGAGTGTCTCATCATTTAAACAGTCAACAGCTAATTAAGTGCTAACAGGGCGCTAGCTGTGTGCTAACCTGATGGGTTAGTTTCATGTTGTTTGTCAGGTAGAAAAGAGTGTTAGCTGCTGCAGAATAAGCAGAGGAGGTAAAGACAGGGATCAGTAATGAGTTAAAGTTCTTCTGCAGCAGAGGAAGGAAAGTCAACACGTTGGAGCAGCCTGTGAATAGAAGCTTTATTTCTTCTATATATATGATGTATAATATTGATGAAGGCAGACAGAGCAGCTGGTCTTCAGTTGATCCTACAGTGAAATCATTTTACTGTTAATTTCAGATCTAAAATGACTGTTTTGGTGACGTAAACGTTGTTTTTAACTTTGTTCCATTTAAGATTTTTCACTGGACTTGTACTACTGAGATTTACAGAAGAACTACAAACATGGCGGAGTTGCAGTGTGTGATGGCGGCACGCCTGCTGACACAGAAACAGCAGCTCTGGAGGACTGAACAGGCTGGTGTCCTGTTACCATGGTCACAGAACATCAAACCATTTTTATTTGGTAGATACTAAAACTGGATCTTTTATTGACACGTTGACCACCGAGCTAAAATGTCCCGTTTTCCCCAAAATAAATCTGGTGTCCTGGTGTCCTCATGTGATCTGTCTCAGCAGCACCTTCAGTCACGAACATTTAAACTCCAGCAGCAGAGTCGGAGCCAGAAACCCGTCAGAACCAACACATGTTTGAAATCAAGAAGGAATAAATTCAGACAGACGACAGAAAGAATGTGAACAAACATCTGAGGCGTCCTGCTGCAGCTTCAGCTCTAACAGACCCACATGGATCCTCGTTAACATCCAGTTCAGCAGAGGGTTTCTCTGGTTTCGGGAGGTCCGGGTCTCGGAGCTAATGAGGCTTCAGCCGACGTGTTGATCCGCAGAGTCGCTTCACATCAGATCTGAGATCAGTTCGGCTCTTTGATCAAACAGGATTATTCCTGTTGGAGTCGTGTAAAGAGAAAAGTTTCACTGAGAACCAACACTTTCACACGAAAAACAGACTTTAAACTCAGACGGAAACAAGAAAGACAAATTATTCACTTCCACATGTTCATACAAGAAAGTACACTTAAAAGTACTGCAATATTTCTGTCCTGCGGCAAAAAACTCACAAGAAACACAGGAAAGAAACAGCCGCTGTTACTGTTCATCCTCCGTTTATTATCAGCAGCCAAACATCAGCTGTAAACTAAACTAATATTCAACAATCAGAAACAGACAAATCAGTCAAGACATGAAGTTCAAGATCTCAGCTCAGTCAGACAATAAGAGTCAAAGTTCAAGCCTCACACCTCCGACCTTCATATGTTTAATATCGTTTCATATGTGAACGACCAACGTGCACCTTCATCATGTGAACTTTCCTCTGTGAGCTGAACTTCAGGAATTATCTGTCAGTGAAGAAATCCAAGGAATTCAGAAACACAATTATTTCATCTGTTTTTCTTCCCCTGGCTGCAAACGTGTTCATGCTGCTCAACTAGACATATTAAACCTGTAATTATACATGTTAGTAATACAATAATCATAAAAATACATACTCATATAGTAATAATACATTTTACATTTGATGCAAGATTCAAACCAACAACAGAAAAGCTGAGTAACTTCCATCCATAGGTGTCATTTACACTGGGGACCCTGGGGACGCTGGGGACCCTGGGGACGCTGGGGACGCTGGGGACGCTTGGTACACTCGGGATGCTTGGGATGCTTGGGACACTGGGGACGCTTGGTACACTGGGGATGCTTGGTACACTGGGGACGCTGGGGACACTGGGGACGCTGGGGACACTTGGTACACTGGGGACGCTGGGGACGCTTGGTACACTGGGGATGCTTGGTACACTGGGGACGCTGGGGACACTTGGTACACTGGGGACGCTGGGGACACTTGGTACACTGGGGATGCTTGGTACACTGGGGACGCTGGGGACACTGGGGACGCTGGGGACACTTGGTACACTGGGGACGCTGGGGACACTGGGGACGCTGGGGACACTTGGTACACTGGGGACGCTGGGGACGCTTGGTACACTGGGGATGCTTGGTACACTGGGGACCCTGGGGACGCTGGGGACACTTGGTACACTGGGGACGCTGGGGACGCTTGGTACACTGGGGATGCTTGGTACACTGGGGACCCTGGGGACGCTTGGTACACTGGGGATGCTTGGTACACTGGGGACCCTGGGGACGCTTGGTACACTGGGGATGCTTGGTACACTGGGGACGCTGGGGACACTGGGGACGCTGGGGACACTTGGTACACTGGGGACGCTGGGGACGCTTGGTACACTGGGGATGCTTGGTACACTGGGGACGCTGGGGACGCTTGGTACACTGGGGATGCTTGGTACACTGGGGACGCTGGGGACGCTTGGTACACTGGGGATGCTTGGTACACTGGGGACACTGGGGACCCTGGGGACACTTGGTACACTGGGGACGCTGGGGACGCTTGGTACACTGGGGATGCTTGGTACACTGGGGATGCTTGGTACGCTGGGGACGCTTGGTACACTGGGGATGCTTGGTACACTGGGGACACTGGGGACGCTGGGGACACTTGGTACACTGGGGACGCTGGGGATGCTTGGTACACTGGGGATGCTTGGTACACTGGGGATGCTTGGTACACTGGGGACGCTGGGGACGCTTGGTACACTGGGGATGCTTGGTACACTGGGGACACTGGGGACGCTGGGGACACTTGGTACACTGGGGACGCTGGGGATGCTTGGTACACTGGGGATGCTTGGTACACTGGGGACGCTGGGGACGCTGGGGACACTTGGTACACTGGGGACGCTGGGGATGCTTGGTACACTGGGGATGCTTGGTACACTGGGGATGCTTGGTACACTGGGGACCCTGGGGACGCTGGGGACACTTGGTACACTGGGGACGCTGGGGACGCTTGGTACACTGGGGATGCTTGGTACACTGGGGACCCTGGGGACGCTGGGGACACTTGGTACACTGGGGACGCTGGGGACGCTTGGTACACTGGGGATGCTTGGTACACTGGGGACCCTGGGGACGCTGCTGCATTTCACATTTCTTCAAAATATTGTTAAAAACGACTCAGGTGATCTGGACGAAACCTTCTTTCTGTGGTTATTGATCAGAAATATAAAGCCGGTTATTGATGCTAAATGACATTAAAAGACAAAAGGTTGCGTCCGTGGCGCCGAGCAGCACAGTTGTTGTCAGATGAAAGCGCCGCCGGCCTGTTTGGTGTTTTCCAGTGGGAGTTGTGTGTTCTGGCGGCGGCGGCTGTTCTCAGACCAGCGTCCTGTCCGTTTACTCTGAGCTCAGGTACGAACAAGAAAATCCCTGTTAAGTTTTCTTGTTGCACTTTGTTGTGAGCTGCGACGCCACCGTGCAGAATGTGACGCCGCCGCGCCGAAACCTGCAGCAGAAGAAGAAGAGTGTGTGTTTGTGAGGACGTGTGTGGCGGCGGCAGCTCTGAAGTCGGGGCCAGACGTGGCGGCTCCCACGGGGCCTCTGAGCACTGGGCCGGTCGGGTTTATCTGACCTCTGACCTCTGACAGCGGCAGAGGATGATGGGACGTCGCTCGCCAGAGATCTGTGACACAAAAGAGAAGAAGAAGAAAGGTTTGATTTAAAAGTGAGAACAGAAGGAACAGATCAGAGAAGAAGGAGCAGAGACTATCACTGGGCTCCACCTGTGTGTTCCTGTTGCATGCTGGGAAATGTCAGGGATTCTTCACACCTTTGTTTCTAAAACGTTTCTGGGGTCCAAAAATTCATTCAGCCAATTTTCAGATTTTAAGGGATAAATTTTGAACAAATCACTAGATTTTGATAAAGCGTTCTGCAAATGTCTGAAGCCAATAAAACCAAAAAAATTCATCGGACTCTTATCTATGTGCTGGAAAATGGATTTGCGTGATATGCAAATCAGCGCATATTTAATGAGGAAATGCCTCATTTGCATATAAAAAATGAATGGTTATGTTTCCTGTCAGAGTTTCATTGTGATGTGAGGAAAGTTGGTAAAAAGTCTGTTTGACTGGAGCCTCTTTATTCACTGATGAGTAAAAACAGACTCGCTGCACAGATGACATCGCATTCAGTCCGGCCCTCCGTACCGACAGTTACCTGACCCCCTTCCTGTTCTGGACTCTGTGTTTCAGGACTGTGGTCTGCTGGTCCAGCCCGGTCGGTCCTGCGGTCTCCAGCCTTTCATCCAGTCTCAGAGTCCACTTCAGACCTGCAACTCGGGACACGTACCAGGTCTGGTGTCACTTCCTGTCTCTCACATGGGCAGGTTCAGTATCGATCAGCTCCGTCAGACTGTTCAGATTGTGATCAGATTTCACTTTAGAAAATATCTGATTAAGTTAAGACAAACCAAGCTAAGCTAAGCTAAGCTAAGCTAATGTCTGTGAAGGTTCTCAGTCTCCCAGGGCAACTGGACTTGGATGAAAGACCAAGAAATCTTCAACCAAGTCCAGTTGCCCTTGACTTTGACCTTCTTTGGAAAACTTTGAGCTAAGATGAATCTTAGCAGCAGCAGAAGGAACTCCAGGATCACAATAAAAACTGAAAGACAAACTGTAAAATTTCTGTTTCTGTTTGTAAATTGTATATTTTATACTGTCTCACCTGTCTCACCTGTCTCAGGTCGGTGGGTGGTTCCGTGTCTCAGCTGTTCTGATAACAGGACGTGTGATTGGAGGGAGGTTGCCTGGCAACCTGACAGCTGTTATCACCCGCTAGTGGACCGCCCCCTTCTGCAGGACTGTATGACCAACAGGAAGGTGAGGTCGACATGTGGTCCAGCAGGTGGTCCAACATGTGGTCCAACATGTGGTCCAACATGTGGTCCAACATGTGGTCCAACATGTGATCTAACATGTGGTCCAACATGTGGTCCAACATGTGGTCCAACATGTGGTCCAACATGTGATCTAACATGTGGTCCAACATGTGATCTAATATGTGGTCTAACATGCGGTCTAACATGCGGTCTAACATGTGGTCCAACATGTGATCTAACATGTGGTCCAACATGTGATCTAATATGTGGTCTAACATGTGGTCTAACATGTGGTCCAACATGTGGTCCAACATGTGGTCCAATATGAGGTCCAATATGCAGTCTAACATGTGGTCCAGCGGGTGGTCCAACATGTGGTCCAACATGTGGTCCAACATGTGGTCCAACATGTGGTCCAACATGTGATCTAACATGTGGTCCAACATGTGATCTAACATGTGGTCCAACATGTGGTCCAACATGTGGTCCAACATGTGATCTAACATGTGGTCCAACATGTGGTCCAACATGTGGTCCAACATGTGGTCTAACATGTGGTCCAATATGAGGTCCAATATGCGTCTAACATGTGGTCCAACATGAGGTCTTCCATGTGGTCCAACACGGGACAGGTGTCTTGATGTGTATCACCTGTTGAACATGAACCTTCCCGTCTCTCTTCAGGTTTTGTTTATCGGCGACTCGACCAATCGTGGGATGATGTACTTCCTGATGGAGCGGGTGAACTCCAGCCTGGAGGACTGGGGCAAAGCTCACGACACGCTGGTCTACAGGAACCTGAATGGGGGACGGACCCTCGTCAGCTACTCGTATTATCCTCAGTTCTGGCTGCAGAAGAACCAGAGACCCACGTTCAGACAGGCTCTGCTGCAGCTGCTGGACAGGTGAGAGGACCAGTCCTGATGGGGGGTGGGGGGGGGGGGTCACACTGTGCTGCTCATGTCCTGATGAGTTTCTCCCCTGAAGGTCACGACCTCTGGTGAACTCAAACCTGACAGTTCTGGTGGTGGGTGGAGTGCAGTGGCTCAACACGGATCACCTGAAGACGGTCCGAGAGGTGCTGAACAGGTGAGCAGGTGCATCTGAGGATCACTGCACTAAACTACCTCACTGATCCAGAATCTGCAGCTCTCATGTTTTTAGACACTATTTAAAAAGCTTAGAGTGCTCTTTTGATTCTACCGTCTCACTCAGCTGATCCTCAGTTAACAGAGCCGAGTAGAATTACAAGGATTAGAGTCCCTGTTTTGTCCGCTGTTAACTTGTTGACAGGGCCCGCTGTCAACCACTTTTACCAGAGTTTGTAGTGTGGACATTCTGGATTTACAGTGATGACTGTATCTAAAGAAGGGTTAGAGTCCCCTTAGCGTTAGAGTCCCTAAGTAACTGAAGGGGGGATAGAGTGGGAGATTCGGAATCAAAGGAGTAAAATGAGCAAAGGTGGGAAAGCCTTTTTTATATTTCCCTGTTGTTTTTATGTTTTATGTAAAGCACTTTGAATGACCTTGTTGCTATACAAATAAACTTGCCTTCACTTGAGACGTCATGTGATTGTGGTCTACAGACGTTTGCTAAATTGCATAAGTGTTGTTTTAAGTTATAACCTGAGTGTGGTTTCTATGACACACGTGGTCACTTTGCCCCTCCCCCCCCCCAGAGAGTCTCTGGGTGACGTCCTGGTGGTGGTGAAGTCTCTGGGGATGGGTTTCCACCTTCCTGTAGACGGGATCCGGTCTCTCAGTCTGGTATGTTTCTGCTTCCTGCTGCACGTCTGCTTGATTTTATATCAACGCACTCTCACACAATGATCGTTTGTTTGTTTGTTGTGACCTTTCAGAAGGAGATCCAGAAGCTCTACAGGGAGAACCGTAACATCATCACCACAGCAAAGCATTATGGGTACGAGGCAATTGACACATTCAGCATCACAATGGGTCGGTACAAAGAGTTCCTGCAGGGGCGGTGTGGCTGCCACTTTCACGAGGTAACTTTACAGATCAGTAAATAATACAACCCGTTCTCACTTCCAAGTCGTCATATACTGACGCATGTTCAAGACCCGTTGGTGTCAGTTTGTAACGCACTGGGGGAAGCAAGCACAGAGACAGAGTAAGGAGGTGGCTGCGGTGGGCCAGAAACCGGACTTTCAACCAGGACAGGTGTTCATGTAAAACAAAATGTCAACATTGAATGTTTTTAAGTTGCTTAAGTTACACAACTAACGTTTCTTAACTTACGTAAGTAACGTAACCATGATCTTTTTTGAAATCAAACCAAATTGCAACCTGTCGCAACGTTAACATATACTTTTTTTTAAAGGCTAAACGGACGTTGCTTATTTATTGTTGTTAACTTGAGCCCTACACATTCAAAAACTATACTAATGGGTGCCCATGGCAATAAAAAGCAACACCAAGGGGTCTGACCAAGCATCCGTATGTGTTGAGTTGGAGTGAGAATGTGTTGAATAATATGTTTATGGATCCTCAGAGGAACATATACGAGGAGTCAGGGCTGATGTGGATTTCCTCAAGGTAAGTTTAGGAAACGGTGGTGGACATGTTAGGTTTATGAAAAGGTGGTGGATTGGTTAGGTTTATGAAAAGGTGGTGGATTGGTTAGGTTTATGAAAAGGTGGTGGATTGGTTAGGTTTATGAAAAGGTGGTGGATTGGTTAGGTTTATGAAACGGTGGTGGACATGTTAGGTTTATGAAAGGTGGTGGTTTGGTTATGTTTATGAAACGGTGGTGGACATGTTAGGTTTATGAAAAGGTGGTGGTTTGGTTAGGTTTATGAAACGGTGGTGGCTTGGTTAGGTTTATGAAAAGGTGGTGGATTGGTTAGGTTTATGAAAAGGTGGTGGTTTGGTTAGGTTTATGAAACGGTGGTGGACATGTTAGGTTTATGAAAAGGTGGTGGTTTGGTTAGGTTTATGAAACGGTGGTGGCTTGGTTAGGTTTATGAAAAGGTGGTGGATTGGTTAGGTTTATGAAAAGGTGGTGGATTGGTTAGGTTTATGAAAAGGTGGTGGTTTGGTTAGGTTTATGAAAAGGTGGTGGATTGGTTAGGTTTATGAAAAGGTGGTGGTTTGGTTAGGTTTATGAAACGGTGGTGGACATGTTAGGTTTATGAAAAGGTGGTGGTTTGGTTAGGTTTATGAAAAGGTGGTGGTTTGGTTAGGTTTATGAAAAGGTGGTGGTTTGGTTAGGTTTATGAAAAGGTGGTGGATTGGTTAGGTTTATGAAAAGGTGGTGGATTGGTTAGGTTTATGAAACGGTGGTGGACATGTTAGGTTTATGAAACGGTGGTGGACATGTTAGGTTTATGAAAAGATGGTGGTTTGGTTAGGTTTATGAAAAGGTGGTGGTTTGGTTAGGTTTATGAAAAGGTGGTGGATTGGTTAGGTTTATGAAAAGATGGTGGTTTGGTTAGGTTTATGAAAAGATGGTGGTTTGGTTAGGTTTATGAAAAGATGGTGGTTTGGTTAGGTTTATGAAAAGGTGGTGGATTGGTTAGGTTTATGAAAAGGTGGTGGATTGGTTAGGTTTATGAAAAGGTGGTGGTTTGGTTAGGTTTATGAAAAGGTGGTGGATTGGTTAGGTTTATGAAAAGGTGGTGGTTTGGTTAGGTTTATGAAAAGGTGGTGGATTGGTTAGGTTTATGAAACGGTGGTGGACATGTTAGGTTTATAAAAAGGTGGTGGTTTGGTTAGGTTTATGAAACGGTGGTGGACATGTTAGGTTTATGAAAAGGTGGTGGTTTGGTTAGGTTTATGAAAAGGTGGTGGATTGGTTAGGTTTATGAAAAGGTGGTGGTTTGGTTAGGTTTATGAAAAGGTGGTGGATTGGTTAGGTTTATGAAACGGTGGTGGACATGTTAGGTTTATAAAAAGGTGGTGGTTTGGTTAGGTTTATGAAACGGTGGTGGATTGGTTAGGTTTATGAAAAGGTGGTGGACATGTTAGGTTTATGAAAAGGTGGTGGTTTGGTTAGGTTTATGAAAAGGTGGTGGACATGTTAGGTTTATGAAAAGGTGGTGGTTTGGTTAGGTTTATGAAAAGGTGGTGGTTTGGTTAGGTTTATGAAAAGGTGGTGGTTTGGTTAGGTTTATGAAACGGTGGTGGACATGTTAGGTTTATGAAAAGGTGGTGGTTTGGTTAGGTTTATGAAAAGGTGGTGGATTGGTTAGGTTTATGAAAAGGTGGTGGTTTGGTTAGGTTTATGAAAAGGTGGTGGATTGGTTAGGTTTATGAAAAGGTGGTGGTTTGGTTAGGTTTATGAAAAGGTGGTGGTTTGGTTAGGTTTATGAAAAGGTGGTGGATTGGTTAGGTTTATGAAAAGGTGGTGGATTGGTTAGGTTTATGAAAAGGTGGTGGTTTGGTTAGGTTTATGAAAAGGTGGTGGTTTGGTTAGGTTTATGAAAAGGTGGTGGATTGGTTAGGTTTATGAAAAGGTGGTGGTTTGGTTAGGTTTATGAAACGGTGGTGGACATGTTAGGTTTATGAAAAGGTGGTGGTTTGGTTAGGTTTATGAAAAGGTGGTGGTTTGGTTAGGTTTATGAAAAGGTGGTGGATTGGTTAGGTTTATGAAAAGGTGGTGGTTTGGTTAGGTTTATGAAAAGGTGGTGGTTTGGTTAGGTTTATGAAAAGGTGGTGGTTTGGTTAGGTTTATGAAAAGGTGGTGGATTGGTTAGGTTTATGAAAAGGTGGTGGTTTGGTTAGGTTTATGAAAAGGTGGTGGTTTGGTTAGGTTTATGAAAAGGTGGTGGATTGGTTAGGTTTATGAAAAGTTGGTGGTTTGGTTAGGGAAAAGGTAGTGGTTTGGTTAAGTTTATGAAAAGGTGGTGGATTGGGTTAAATTTAGTACATTACATGATGTAAGACCGTAACTTTATTTAACTTAAAACTCTAAACAAGTCTTCCCTGACTTGGTTTCACACCAGATTTGAACCCAGGTCTCAGTGATGAAAGTCTTGCTTCTGTTTGACCCGTCTTTCCACCTCATGATGTGGACTTTGTCGCTCTTTGTACTATGTCACCTGACCTCCTCTTTAGCTCCTTCATAATTACCACGGCAACTAGAGGTCGCCGCCCAGCAGAAGACTGGCCATAATGAGCTGCTCAGTCGACCTGTTCGGACGGTTCTCTGGTGACGACGGCTGCATGCCAGCTCCGCCTAAAGCAACAGCCAATCACATCACTCTGCCCTGTTTGTCTTGATTAACAGATAACGACTTTATTTATTTCATGTTTATAGTTTTGTTCCTGAAGGAAGAATTTTCTTTTTTCATTCTCTCTCTTGGAAAAATGATCAGTCAACGTCCAACATCACTTTACGTAGACGATAGACAAGTTTATATCTCAGAACATCCACTGAGAATCCACAGCACCTAGACCAATCTGAGAAGGTGTTTCTCTAATCGTTAACACGACTCTTAAAACTCCTGAACCTCGTTAACAGATACTGAAACCAGGTGTTGGCAACTCTTCTTCTGCTGTGACAGGTGGAGAAGCTTCAGTCCCCCAGGCCTATAGACGAAACGACGTCCACAACCAACAGAACCAAATCCACCAGACCCGGACCTGGACTCAGCAGCCAATCAGCTGTGCCGGACCCAGACCAAGAGGCATGGCCTAAAGCCTCATCCTATCACGTGAGAGGACCAGTGAACCAGGTGTACTCTGAGATCCTGCTGAGTCGCCTGTGTCCCAAAACCAGAAACTAAACACCTGAGAGTGTGTGTGTGAGAGACTCACCTGTCTCATCCACCTGCAGCAGGCTCTCGTGGTGGGGGGGGGGGCAGATGAATAAAACAGTCAAAAGAAATCTCGAGGGATAAAAAAGACTGAAAGCTGAACATTTTCCTGTTTTTCTTCAGGACTCAGGTGACTGTACACCTGACTGCTTTATCTTCAGCATAAAACGGGCTCTTAAAGTGACACAGCATAACGAAGATACTAACCTTCCAGTGTTTAAGGTCCAAGTCGAAATGATTAAGTATCTGAAACTGTTTCTTTATGTAAAAGAAAAATATAATTTACAATTGTTTCTCCAAACCAACAAGAACTTCTTCTTTTCATTGTGAGACAGATTTCCATCTTTCCTCTAATCTGCTGCAAGTTACTGATGCAAAAACTTTATTTTGTGTACTTAATACTTTTTACTGTGTACTAATTACTTTCCACTGTGAACTAACTACATTCTGATATGTAGTAACTGGTTTATAAAGCGCACTAGGTAGTTTCAATCTTAATTAACTTGTATAATGTGCAGCAATAAGTTTCTCTATAATGTGCTCCTGTTTGTAGTTCACACCTGCTAGTTACCAAAGGCTACCAGCTGCTATGTACTGTGTAACAGTTAGTTTCTAATGCTAACAGTTAGTTTCTAATGCTAACTGTTAGTTTCTAAAGCTAAATACTAATTTCTAATGCTAAATGCTAGTTGTCAATGCTATACAGTTAGTTTCTGATGCTAAACAGTTAGTTTCTGATGCTAAACAGTTAGTTTCTGATGCTAAACAGTTAGTTTCTGATGCTAAACAGTTAGTTTCTAATGCTGTTAGTTTCTAATGCTAAATGTTAGTTGTTAATGCTAAACAGTTAGCTTCTAATGCTAACTGTTAGTTTCTAATGCTAACCGTTAGTTGTTAATGCTAAACAGTTAGCTTCTAATGCTAACGGTTAGTATGTAATGCTAACTGTTAGTTTGTAATGCTAACTGTTAGTTGTTAATGCTAAACAGTTAGCTTCTAATGCCAACGGTTAGTTTCTAATGCTAAATGTTAGTTGTTAATGCTAAACAGTTAGCTTCTAATGCTAATGGTTAGTTTGTAATGCTAAATGTTAGTTTGTAATGTTAACATTTATCTTCTAATGCTAACGAACCTCAGCTATTGTAGTGTCCATCAGCTGGTTTCTAATGTACACCAGCTAGTGTTTAATCTGCTCTAACTAATTTAGTGCTACTTTCTTATGTGTAGGGGAGACCGGGGGCAATTGTAACATATTTTACATTTTCCTTAATAACTCACAAACTACTTGAGATACACTCATCATCTTTTGTTTCAAGAAACACATATATGTGAACTAATTAATGATACAATTGATATATTTTCACTTATAAGAACAAGACTAAAATATTTAATTAAATGCAAGAAGTCAGAGTGCGGGGGCAATTGTAACACTGAAAAATAAGTCATATTAATCCACTGCATCTCAAGTAAAGCCTAGGCTGCCTCAAAGTAATTACTTTACAGCTAATAATGTTACATAAGAGTTTTCAAATGGTTCGAATTATTTTAGGTGTCAGGCTCTCTCTGTTCTAACTTCATAAAATTGCTTTTTACAAGTGAACTAGTCATTCTCTTTGGTTTGCTGGGTCTTATACCATCAACTACTTTAAGTCCACTATACAGACAAACTGACAATGAGAGGAACAGACTTAGACAGTGAAAACTGTTCACAGAGCGCTGTGATCTGTTGTAGAAGCACTCAACAAGTGATGAACGTGCGGCGGGCTGAACGCTCCGCTGCTGAAAGCTTCCAGTGTGGGTTGACGCCGGGCTGAGGACGGGTCAAAACCGTGGCACACACAGGCCGCCTGTATGAGTCCGGGGCAACTGGTCTCTGATGCACACTAGCTAGTTAAGTGCTCACTAGTCAGCTTCTCTGTGCATGGTTAGAAATGAATCTCTCTTCTGATGGAACACTGAAATCAGTCTGTTCTTCTTCTTCTCTCTGTATATTTATGTTTTATACCTCAGTCGCTGACGTTATTGATAAATTCAAACCAAAGAGTCGGTGATAACTGTGTCATCATGTGAAATAAATGTCTTATTTGATGCTCTGCTTATATTTTCTATATTTTTCTACAATGTATTTTGTGCCTTTTATCTCTAAACATGTTTACATGCTGGAAAATAGAATATATTTATATATGACTGTAATGATTCTCTGATCTTTAATGAAATTGTTTTCCAAAAAGACACAAACGCAATTTCTCAATAACAAATCAACTGTGACGACATGAAATCTGTTTATTATTTGTCTTTATTTCACTCTTCTGTGTCTTTTTACAGTTTGATAAACCCGACAGTTTGATCACCGTTTACTTCCGCCAGGAGGTTAAAATCTCACAAAAGTTAATCAGACGAGCTGGAAGGGAAAGGCATGTTTCCTCTGTGTGAATTGAATTTGTATATATTTGCTGATATTTTTTAATGTAAAAAACAATAAAGGACTTGTTAAAGAAAGAATATTAATAATTAATTGTCGAGTATTAAATGTGTTGAACTTTTCTCCGGAAAAAGCTAAATTAGGTTAACTTAATTTGTTTATTGGTCAAACTGATTAAAAGGTGTTAAATATATATATTCTATATTTTCTTTGTAGACTGTAAGTGTTTTAATTTACATGCAACTTAAACTCAAATATCAAATTGAATGATCAAATGTAAATAATAGATAGATAAGCAGGTCATGCAGAATTCAGTCAGGACAGTTTGTTCTGCTAAAGGCAGATTTTTCAACATCTAAAAGTGTTCAATGTAGAAACATCTGAATGGAGTTTGGTGTGAAGTTTCGGGGGCAGTAATCCTTGTTTTATATACTGGGATTAACCTAACACCAAACTCCATTCAAAGATCAAGCAGTTTTGAGTTTTTAATTTTTTGCTTCTCTGACTTAAAGTATCTGGGAAAATCACGGATTAAATCTCAGATTAAATATATTCGGGAAACAGTTTTGTCTTTGTGATCCCTCCGCCAGCCCAATGAGCGTCCAGCTGTGACGTCAGCTGCTGAATATGAATCCCTTGCTCGTCCAATGAGGATCCTCCGGGACTCGGACTGTCCAGTCCAGAACACAAAGTGGACTGGAAGCTGAACAGAGTCCTGCAGGAGGGACTGCATCACATCATCCCAGTCGGAGCTGGACTCTCCTGTGATCCTGTTCCCCGAAGGATCATTACTGCACCGAGACCAGGATTAATGAATGTGCTCCTGGACCGGGTTTTGGTATGATGGGCAGACTGAGAGCGCAGCCCCGCGGCTCAGATAGATGAAGAGGTCATGGAGAGACGGAGCTGTGGAGTCCGACACATGTGCACTCTGACTCTGCTGCTGGTCTCTGTGTGTCCGCTGTGCTGCAGAGCCTCCTGGATGTAAGTAGAGCCTGCTGCTCAAACCAAACCGAACTTCATTATAGAAACGGCCGATTTAAGCGTAAATTTGCTCTTGTATACCGCGCTTCTACCTTCAGGAATAACACTTGGGCCAAAAACAACATAGGCTACTAGTTTCTCACGCTTCCAGTCTTTCCTCTTAAAAACCCGCGGAAGTAAAAAAAAAACAAACAACAAAACTGAATAAGTTTAAAGCCTTTAGAGAAAACGTCGCTTCACAGAAGCAGCTGGAAAAGTCCGTGTTTGTTCATGTCTCCGGTTTTACTCAATAACTTTCGGATATTTAATTTAGCCAATTGGAGGCTTCCTGTGCTCAGACCTCTTAAATATGCCCTTCAAACAATCAACAAATGGTCCATAACAATTCAGAACGTAAGTGTGACTGAGTTCTTGTCATTAATTAAGTCAGTGTGAAGGTTGGATCGTTTGGAGGGGCACCAGAGTCCCCGCTGGGCCCCGCGGAGCCAGCTGGATGCCCGAGCGTCCTCAGCGTCTGCTCATCAGATGCGAGCCGGTTTTACTCAATTAACCTCCAAGATCCAATAAAGCCAAATTCCATTTAAAAGTAAATGTGAGGCGCCTCTGTGTGTGTCATCAGGTGGGCCGCTCCAGATGGGCTTTAGGGCCGAATGGGTCCGCGCGATAATTCAATTAGGCTGTGAGATTTAATAAAACAAAAGTGATGTTTTTAATAAAAATATCACTTTTATAAATAAAATACCAACTTTTCATTTGGGAGCGTTGATCCACCCAGAGGACGACAGACTGAAAGCTGACAGGAGTCCGGCACAAACCGCCGTGTTCGGTGAGCCTGAGCTGACGTGCGCCGGCTGGTTAACCTAACTGGAGATCCGATAAGCCAAATTCCATTTTAGGCCAAACACAGCCTCAAATTAAATCACCACATCAGCTGGAGGCTTTAATGTCCTCCTCTGTTCCACAATCAGGATTCCCCTTAATAATAAAACCCTAGTGAGTCGGTGAAGCATGGATCTGGATCTAAATCTTATAGGACTGCAGACTTTAGGCGACACCCGGGCGGCAGCACGCGCGAAGCCTTCATGAGGTTACAGATTTGAGAAAGAAAAATTCATTAAAAAACAACCAGTTAAGATGTTAATAAGTACAGGCCCGATCCCAGCAGGTAAAACAAATGAAATGTAAAGTAAGATTCTTCTCATCAAATGTCCTCCTGCTTCCTGACCTGCTGGATCCGATCCCTGCAGTCAGACTATTAACATTTTGCATTCTATTAAAATGTCAGATTTGCCATTTAAGGTTTACTTTAATACATTTAATTAAATTTATTATAATTTCATTATTTAAATGATTAATTTCTGAAATCTGCCTGATGTCTTATTGTTTATTTCACTGGCTGACAGAGAAATTTTAAAACCTGAATGTTTCGCACGGAGTTTGGTGCTTAACTAAGAGCCGGCGTTTCCCTGCAGGTGGTTGGGTGTGGCCCCGGCCGGAGTCCCGGAGAAGCTGGGCTGTGCTGCCCTCCCTCTCAGCCACAAGCAGCGGGACCTGTGCCGGAAGAAGCCGTTCCTGCTGCCCAGCATCCAGGACGGAGCCCGGCTCGCCATCGCGGAGTGTCAGAGCCAGTTCAGACACGAGAGGTGGAACTGCTCCACCAGGGAGGACCCGTCCGTGTTCGGATACGAGTCAACGAGCGGTGAGGAGGCTTCCCTGCTCCTGCCTCTCAGAGGGAGAGCTTTGTAATCACTTGATCATTTGATGTGAAGATTTGCTTTTAATTATTTGAAAGTATTTTAATCACTTTGAGGTTTGGACAGAACAAACACTTTGGGCTCTGAGTAACTGGGACAACGTTTATCAATATTTTCAGAATTATTAGGATCAGTGTAATGAAAAAATAATTTTATCATTAACTGCAGTCTGATACGAAATAGTTCAACCTCAACAATCACAGCAGGACAATGAGGAGGAATAATTAGAATGTAATATATAAAAGTACAACAGTCAGTTTCCTTTCTGCTCTGAGTACTTGTACTTTAAATATGATTATACTTACATATTACTGCAGTGAGGTATTAGTAGGGGAGAGTGAGTGTGTTGTAACACTTTCACAACACAAGTCAACCAAATGAGAGAGTGAATCTTGGGCGCACGTTTAGTTTCCCTCACATCTTCAGATCTTACTGGAGACTGGTGAGCTGAGAGTGTGCACGTGGATTATCAAAGAATAAAAATACAACTACTTAATTATGAATATTGATTTGCTATATTAAATTTAAAATTCATACCAGAAGTAAAAATAAAAACAATCAGGACTAGAAAATCTGTAAAATCTGTCAAACAGATTTGCTTTGCACTTTAAAATCGCACGTTCTTTGGTAAGTGAATGGAAAACTGCAGATTACCTGCTTAAATGTTACTTTTCTGTATTTTCTATCACATCTATCACGTCACAGTGTCAGATGCTCATGTGAAATGCAACGCTGCGCTCAGTCTGTCTCTATGGATGTTTTCTGCAGTCTCATTTAGATTCACTGTGTTTGCATCTTGGACCATAGACTGTCTTAAAAAAACATCTCGGACACAAAAGTGACGTTGCTGGTGAATACCGCTCAGCGCAGGGTGACGCATGCGTTCATGCAAAGCTGCCGTACAGGAGTCACAGAGCTACATTATAGGGCTGGAGACGCACTACAGGTCTCCGTTAACCTCTTAACAAACAGGTGTGGTGTTTAAACACTAATGTGCATTTCTACATATGAATTGCCTGAGGTGCAAACATCGTGGGCCCATTTGTTGCACTTCACACTTCATCCACATCTCCTTCAAAAACACATTTCCTCTATGCAATTACAGATAAATGAGTTTAAATTATTTGTCTCCTCTCCTTGTTGCCAAACTGAATTAATGACTGTATGAAGCAGTGTGTGTGTTCGCTGCTTCGTACAGTGGCTTGAACTCAGCGTTGTGTCGTCCAGAGCTAACTCTGCTGCTGTAAACTGCACTGTCTCTTTACAGTATCAGTTCATGGTGTCAGAGGTAATTACTGTTTATCTGGGATGACTTGCCCCAAACTGACATGTTCATGTCGGCTGAACCTCGAGGTTAGCTCAAAAGATCACGTCTCCTCTACTTTGTGCAACTTTATCAGTTTGAACATTCATACCAAACAAAGTTGGCTTGCATAAAATGTAAAGTGCAAATCTTTTACCTTTTGAAGCAAAAAAATATAAAACGTTGTGCTCACCTCAGAGGAGAGTGACCACATGTGAACAGGAAGTCACACAAAGTGGCTATTAGATTTTTTTCTAGTGTTGGAGGTATGAGCAGAGTGACATCTTACCCCGCTCTCCCCCACCTGAGTGAAGGCTCTGAATACTTTATCCACCTTTTCTCTCTGCTGAGGTAAAAGTGTCAGGTTTGTCCTGATGGTGGCGCCAGAGAGAAAGCTCCTGTTGCAGGTTTATCCCCTGTATGGTGGCCTGTTTAGGACACAGCTCTACTTAGTGAAAAGTAAGCAGCATTTAGAAGAAACAGAAACTTGGATTATTCCAGCAGGACGGAGAAACGACACAGAAACTGAATGAGCTGAGCGCTGTAGTTCCCTTTGTTTCAGAAACTGAACTTTAATCCAGACAGAATCAAATTAAAGAAAAACTTTAATTAAGTTAAACGCAGGAGGATTTCTCCCTGCATAGCTTCAGCATGAAGCACGATGACCTCATGTGTTTTAGAGCTAATTGCATTTTTAGATAATAACTGATGTTAACAGAGATGGACAGTTGATATTTGGCTCTGAAAGAGTCGATCACATGTTTTAAATGAGGATATTAGAGACGTGAGGCTTTAATCTGCAGCTCAGAGTCAGAGTTTACTCACATTTCATCACCTGAGAGATGTTTTCTGTTTAGTTAGATGAAGATCCGAGCTTTTAATTCTGCCCAAGTTAAATATGATCATCCATTTTCCTCAGAATATATTGTTTTGGATTAAAGCTCGCAGCCAAGTGCAATTTTAATTAGTCCACTTTCTAACTTTGTCTGAAGCTTCCTGTCACCTTTCCGTCAGCTGTGGCTGAAAGTTCAGAAAAACTCAGTGGACTTAAAATAGGATTCTTCGGCAAGTTGTACTTTAACACGACACAATTCTTAATTTCCCTCTGTGATGTCACACTGACCCCTCCCTCCTCTTCCCCGTAGGAACCAAAGAAACAGCGTTCATTTACGCGGTGATGGCGGCGGGGCTGGTCCACGCCGTCACGCGCTCCTGTAGTCAGGGCAACATGACGGAGTGCGGCTGCGACACTCAGCTGCAGGGCAGCGGCTCGCCGGAGGAGGGCTGGCACTGGGGCGGCTGCTCAGACCACATCCAGTACGGGACCTGGTTCAGCCGCAAGTTCATCGACAGCGGCGTCAAAAACATGTCGACAACCAGAGGAGGATACACGCAGACCACCATGAATCAGCACAACAGCGAGGCGGGACGCCAGGTGAGGACGCCAAGGACATTGTTAACCTGAATCCTTTATCTCTTCATTTGGTGGCGTCTCTTTGACTCAGTCCGTTGTCTCTTTGTTTGGTGGTGTCTTTTTGTCTCAGTCCATTGTCTCTTTGCTTGGTGGCGTCTCTTCGTCTCAGTCTGTTGTCTCTTCGTTTGGTGGCATCTCTTTGTCTCTTTGCTTGGTGGCGTCTCTTCGTCTAAGTCTGTTGTCTCTTCGTTTCGTAGCGTCTCTTCGTCTCAGTCCGTTGTGTCTTTGCTTGGTGGTGTCTCTTTGTCTAAGTCCGTTGTCTCTTCGTTTGGTGGCATCTCTTCGTCTCAGTCCGCTGTCTCTTTGTTTGGTGGCGTCTCTTCGTCTCAGTCCGTTGTCTCTTTGCTTGGTGGCATCTCTTCGTCTCAGTCCGTTGTCTCTTTGCTTGGTGGCGTCTCTTCGTCTCAGTCCGTTGTCTCTTCGTTTGGTGGCGTCTCTTCGTCTCAGTCCATTGTCTCTTTGTTTGGTGGCATCTCTTCGTCTCAGTCCGCTGTCTCTTTGTTTGGTGGCATCTCTTCGTCTCAGTCCGTTGTCTCTTTGCTTGGTGGCATCTCTTCGTCTCAGTCCGCTGTCTCTTTGTTTGGTGGCGTCTCTTCGTCTCAGTCCGCTGTCTCTTCATTTGGTGGTGTCTCTTCGTCTCAGTCCATTGTCTCTTCGTTTGGTGGCATCTCTTCGTCTCAGTCCGCTGTCTCTTTGTTCGGTGGCATCTCTTCTTCTCAGTCCATCGTCTCTTCGTTTGGTGGTCTCTTTTTGTCTCAGTCAGCTGTCTCTTTGTTTGGTGGCATCTCTTCGTCAAAGTCTGTTGTCTCTTCGTCTGGTGGCGTCTCTTCGTCTCAGTCCGCTGTCTCTTTGTTTGGTGGTGTCTCTTCGTCTCAATCCGCTGTCTCTTCATTTGGTGGCACCTCTGTGTCTCAGTCCGTTGTCTCTTCGTTTGGTGGCGTCTCTTCGTCTCAGTCCCGCTGTCTCTTTGTTTGGTGGTGTCTCTTCGTCTCAGTCCGCTGTCTCTTCATTTGGTGGTGTCTCTTCGTCTCAGTCCGCTGTCTCTTAGTTTGGTGGCACCTCTGTGTCTCAGTCTGCAGTCTCTTCGTTTGGTGGTATCTTTTTGTCTCAGTCCGTTGTCTCTTCGCTTGGTGGCGTCTCTTCATCTAAGTCTGTTGTCTCTTCGCTTGGTGGCGTCTCTTCATCTAAGTCTGTTGTCTCTTCGTTTCGTAGCGTCTCTTCGTCTCAGTCCGTTGTGTCTTTGCTTGGTGGTGTCTCTTTGTCTAAGTCCGTTGTCTCTTCGTTTGGTGGCATCTCTTCGTCTCAGTCCGCTGTCTCTTTGTTTGGTGGCGTCTCTTCGTCTCAGTCCGTTGTCTCTTCGTTTGGTGGCGTCTCTTCATCTCAGTCCGTTGTCTCTTCGTTTGGTGGCGTCTCTTCGTCTCAGTCCATTGTCTCTTTGTTTGGTGGCATCTCTTCGTCTCAGTCCGCTGTCTCTTTGTTTGGTGGCATCTCTTCGTCTCAGTCCGTTGTCTCTTTGCTTGGTGGCGTCTCTTCGTCTCAGTCCGCTGTCTCTTTGTTTGGTGGTGTCTCTTCGTCTCAGTCCGCTGTCTCTTCATTTGGTGGTGTCTCTTCGTCTCAGTCCATTGTCTCTTCGTTTGGTGGCATCTCTTCGTCTCAGTCCGCTGTCTCTTTGTTTGGTGGCATCTCTTCTTCTCAGTCCATCGTCTCTTCGTTTGGTGGTCTCTTTTTGTCTCAGTCAGCTGTCTCTTTGTTTGGTGGCATCTCTTCGTCAAAGTCTGTTGTCTCTTCGTCTGGTGGCGTCTCTTCGTCTCAGTCCGCTGTCTCTTTGTTTGGTGGTGTCTCTTCGTCTCAGTCCGCTGTCTCTTCATTTGGTGGCACCTCTGTGTCTCAGTCCGTTGTCTCTTCGTTTGGTGGCGTCTCTTCGTCTCAGTCCCGCTGTCTCTTTGTTTGGTGGTGTCTCTTCGTCTCAGTCCGCTGTCTCTTAGTTTGGTGGCACCTCTGTGTCTCAGTCTGCTGTCTCTTCGTTTGGTGGTATCTTTTTGTCTCAGTCCGTTGTCTCTTCGCTTGGTGGCGTCTCTTCGTCTCAGTCCGTTGTCTCTTCGTTTGGTGGCGTCTCTTCGTCTCAGTCCATTGTCTCTTTGTTTGGTGGCATCTCTTCGTCTCAGTCCGCTGTCTCTTTGTTTGGTGGCATCTCTTCGTCTCAGTCCGTTGTGTCTTTGCTTGGTGGCGTCTCTTCGTCTCAGTCCGCTGTCTCTTTGTTTGGTGGTGTCTCTTCGTCTCAGTCCGCTGTCTCTTCATTTGGTGGTGTCTCTTCGTCTCAGTCCATTGTCTCTTCGTTTGGTGGCATCTCTTCGTCTCAGTCCGCTGTCTCTTTGTTTGGTGGCATCTCTTCTTCTCAGTCCATCGTCTCTTCGTTTGGTGGTCTCTTTTTGTCTCAGTCAGCTGTCTCTTTGTTTGGTGGCATCTCTTCGTCAAAGTCTGTTGTCTCTTCGTCTGGTGGCGTCTCTTCGTCTCAGTCCGCTGTCTCTTTGTTTGGTGGTGTCTCTTCGTCTCAGTCCGCTGTCTCTTCATTTGGTGGCACCTCTGTGTCTCAGTCCGTTGTCTCTTCGTTTGGTGGCGTCTCTTCGTCTCAGTCCCGCTGTCTCTTTGTTTGGTGGTGTCTCTTCGTCTCAGTCCGCTGTCTCTTAGTTTGGTGGCACCTCTGTGTCTCAGTCTGCTGTCTCTTCGTTTGGTGGTATCTTTTTGTCTCAGTCCGTTGTCTCTTCGCTTGGTGGCGTCTCTTCATCTAAGTCTGTTGTCTCTTCGCTTGGTGGCGTCTCTTCATCTAAGTCTGTTGTCTCTTCGTTTGGTGGCGTCTCTTCGTCTCAGTCCATTGTCTCTTAGTTTGGTGGTGTCTTTTTGTCTCAGTCCGTCGTGTCTTCGTTCGGTGGCGTATTTTTGTCTCTCTGGCGTCTCTTCTTCTTCTGTCCTTTGTGTCTTCACTCTGTGTCTTATGTTCTTCTACGTTTTTCAGGCGATTGACAGGACGATGTCCACAGACTGTCGTTGTCACGGTGTCTCCGGCTCCTGTGCGGTGAAGACGTGTTGGAGGACGATGGCGCCGTTCGAGCGTGTCGGCGTGTACCTGAAGGAGCGCTATGAACGCAGCGTTCAGGTGTCGGACCGCTCGAGGAGGAAGACGAGGAGGAAGGAGCAGCGTCGTCTCCCCGTCAACAAACAGCAGCTCATCTTCCTCAATAAGTCTCCAAACTACTGTCTGGAGGACCGGCGGCGCGGCATCGCCGGCACCAAAGGACGCCGCTGCAACCGGACGTCCACCGGCTCCGACAGCTGCAACCTGCTGTGCTGCGGCAGAGGATACAACACTCACCTGGTGAGACACGTCGAACGCTGCGAGTGCAAGTTCGTCTGGTGCTGCTACGTCCGCTGCAGGCGCTGCGAGAGCATGAACGACATGCACACCTGCAAATAAAGACCAGGACACACCTGCAAATAAAGACCAGGACACACCTGCAAATAAAGACCAGGACACACCTGCAAATAAAGACCAGGACACACCTGCATATAAAGACCAGGACACACCTGCAAATAAAGACCAGGACACACCTGCATATAAAGACCAGGACACACCTGCATATAAAGACCAGGACACACCTGCAAATAAAGACCAGGACACACCTGCAAATAAAGACCAGGACACACCTGCAAATAAAGACCAGGACACACCTGCAAATAAAGACCAGGACACACCTGCAAATATAGACCAGGACACACCTGCAAATAAAGATCAGGACACACCTGCATATAAAGACCAGGACACACCTGGGAATAAAGACCAGGACACACCTGCATATAAAGACCAGGACACACCTGGGAATAAAGACCAGGACACACCTGCATATAAAGACCAGGACACACCTGCAAATAAAGACCAGGACACACCTGGGAATAAAGACCAGGACACACCTGCATATAAAGACCAGGACACACCTGGGAATAAAGACCAGGACACACCTGCAAATAAAGACCAGGACACACCTGCATATAAAGACCAGGACACACCTGGGAATAAAGACCAGGACACACCTGCATATAAAGACCAGGACACACGTGCGAAAAAAACAGGACACACCTGCATATAAAGACCAGGACACACCTGGGAATAAAGACCAGGACACACCTGCAAATAAAGACCAGGACACACCTGGAAATAAAGACCAGGACTCACCTGGGAATAAAGACCAGGACACACCTGGGAATAAAGACCAGGACACACCTGCAAATAAAGACCAGGACACACCTGCATATAAAGACCAGGACACACGTGGGAATAAAGACCAGGACACACCTGCATATAAAGACCAGGACACACCTGGAAATAAAGACCAGGACACACCTGCATATAAAGACCAGGACACACCTGGAAATAAAGACCAGGACACACCTGGGAATAAAGACCAGGACACACCTGGGAATAAAGACCAGGACACACCTGCATATAAAGACCAGGACACACGTGGGAATAAAGACCAGGACACACCTGGAAATAAAGACCAGGACACACCTGGGAATAAAGACCAGGACACACCTGCAAATAAAGACCAGGACACACCTGCGAATAAAGACCAGGACACACCTGCATATAAAGACCAGGACACACCTGGAAATAAAGACCAGGACACACCTGCATATAAAGACCAGGACTCACCTGGGAATAAAGACCAGGACACACCTGCATATAAAGACCAGGACTCACCTGGGAATAAAGACCAGGACACACCTGCAAATAAAGACCAGGACTCACCTGGGACCAAAGACCAGATAAAATATTTTCAATCCAGTTTACATCCACATTAAACAGATTTAAACTTTTAACAACAGATTTTTCTGCAGCACGAACAGCTGAGTCGTTTGTGGAGCAGAACAGCAGGATTCTGGATGTTTGAGACTCATCATCGAGCTGATCTGCTGTTAACGAGCTCGAGAGGAACAAGTTTCTTCTGTTGGAGAAAAACTGAACTTTTATAATCGGTTGTTGTTTTAAAAAGACTCATTCATGAAAATCAGACAACAGGACATCCTCCTGGGACATGAATGGAAATGCTTCTGTATTTTAGTTTTGGCAGTAAACATGTATTTATGTGTAAATATTTTTATTTTTGAAACTTTCTTCCCTTTATAAATAAACATTACATACAAACAATAAAAATAGTAGTTGTAATCTATAAATGTCCTAATAAATATAATTAGGTAATTAATCTCATAATCAATTAGCATCACACTCCACATGTTGATTCTTGTTTTTACAGAAAATCAGAGGACAATGAACTCATCGCTGTGGGTCCCCACAAACACACAGATAAATAAATATAAACATAATGAATATATGAAGTAGTGACTTCATGAGCTGCAGAGGATTTTCTACTTCCTGTTTCTGCCTCCGTGATGTCATAACTCTGCTGCCCCAGCAAGGAGAACAAAAACTACAAAGATCAAAGTTCTCAGAGTGGATGCTGAAGAAAAAGGTGGGTCGGCTGTCCAAACAGACTCGTCCACTCTACCAGCAAATAGAAGGAGGTTTTATAATTAGGCCTACTGTTATTATCAGTAGCATTATAATAATGTTAACACCAGCTGACAAAGTTGGACGGAGCAGAAGGATCTTTGGTTCTTCTGCTCTGTTAAAAAGACACCGGCTCATGAAGGTCAGTGCAGAAGCAACATGATCATCCCTTTTTTAAAGCGTTTGTTAAATATGTTCCTAAAAATGGCCCCAGGAAATGTTAACTAACAAAAGAGAAAGGTTTGTGTGCTGCTATGCAGTTTAAATATAGAAGAAACAAATGTGCGTTGATGTGCAGCTGATCACTGCCTTTATTCTGTTTGACTTTTCTATTCAAGAACTTTTGTTTCCTTTTCCATAAATTAAGACATTGGAGCAGAAAATGTCTCCAGAATGCAGGAAATCAAGTTTTTAAGTCTGTTTGTCTTTTATTTAAGAAAGAAGAAACAAACGAGACCAAAGAGGAAGTTCACAGTAACCACAGAGTAACAGATAACATATCTGAGCTGTGTGACATTTATTCATGTTACATGTGGATCACGTGTTGTTTCCACAACTCACACATGTTGGTCTGTGCAAAGTCTTTTCTCTCTCCACAGAAACTTCCTCCCAGTATCCAGATCCGGCTGAACCGTCTCCAAAAAAACCCGTCCTCCCGTCCCCGTCATCACAGAAGAACAACATTAAAAACAGCCGCGGTGTTTGTTTGTGAGTCCGATAATACTCAGGTGTTTGTTCACCTCCACTAAGACCTGAACCGCTCCAGACCTGCTGAGCTGAACTTCCTTCAGAGATCCAGGAGACGAGCTGAGCGGGAGTCCGGCTGGAGGCCGCAGCTTCTCCTCCTGTAGCATTTATGATGAAGCGTCGTCCTGTTAGTCCTGCCGCTCAGCACTTTGTCTGGGAGTGCAGTGAATGGCAGGAAATCCTGGACTGCTCTCTTTTCGTTTCCCTCAAACCTTCTGCTCCGTCATCGCAATCTGCTGATAACGCACACATCATAAGCACGTGCTTTACTGGTTGCATCTGAAGACGTTTTCCATCCAATCAAAGTTTGGATGTTAAGAAATAAATCGGGCTCGAGTACTACAACGCTACTTGTTATAGAGTACTTTTACAGTGAGGTATTAGTACTTTTAGTAGTACAGTAAGTGAATACTCTGTCCTCCACAGGCTTGGGGAAGACATCCTGTTCATGAGATGTCCCACAGAGACGGAGGAACACTACAGCTCAGAGTTCAGGAGGAGAAACAGAAGGTAAGGGGGTCCAGGTGGACTCCTGCTTCTTAGTGAGGAACCAGATCCATGACCGCTTCCCTGAACAACAATCAGCTTCTAAAGAAACAGCCTTCTGCAAGACCACACCCTCGCCCAGGTGAGGCCCCGGTCCACACCTGCTCCCCCGACACACACCTGGTCCACACCTGCCCCCTCCTGACACATGTGGTCCACCGTGATCTGCACAGCGTTTGGGAGTGATGTGTTTGATTAAAGCTGCTTGATTGTTGCATTAAAAACGCGTTCTCACCACATGAAGCTCTGAAGGCAGAGAGATGTTTAAAACTCTGCGTTTCTTTTAGTTTGAACTTTTCTTTTTCTAAAAGACGTTGGCAGAAAGTGAGCTCAAAGACATTCAGATTTACAAACCTGACGTCCGTCTGAAAGTTCCTGAGTGTCAAAAAACGTCTGAGTCAGCAGGAAAAGTTCAGGAAACACAAGGGGGGGGGGGGGGGGGTCGACTGGGAGGCTGAAAAGCAGGACAGACACAGACTGACCACAGATCAGCTGAGAGGCTCAGGGAGGACAGACATCATGGAGTCCTGTCGGAGTTTGAAGCTGCTGTTTGTGTCTCTGATGATGATGATGGTGATGAAGACGAGCTCAGCTGCTTCCCCACAGGTAGAATCTCTCGTTATTGTTTATCTGAGGACAGATATGAATGTGTGTGCTTCTGAATAACTGCAGCCATGAACTTATGAAGTATTCAGATCTAATACCACGCTGTAAAAATACTCTGTTACAAGTAAAAGTAAATGTTACTGCAGTAAAAGCATGTGAGTATAATCAGGAAAATGTACTTAAAGTATTCAAAGTGAAAGTACACACTGTCCTGTTAGATTCTTCTTCCTCCTCCTCGTTAACGGAAAGCTCTGATTGTTGAGGCTCATTTGAACTATTTAGTATCAGACTGCAGCTAATGATTCTTTTCATTCTGGATGAATCTGCTGATTATTTTCTCCATGAATCGGCTGTAAACACTGTGAAAAAACACGTCACAGAGTTCCTTCTCTCTGACCAGCAGCACGAAATCAGTTAAAGTAATTCAAAGAAAAGCAGCAAATCTTCACATAAAGATCCTGGCGGCTCAACTTTGTAAACTGATGCAGTTTTCAGATTTTTCTGACTTTAACTGAAGTTGTCGGATAAACGTAGAGAAGTAAAAATATCTGAGAGGGAGGAGAAGGAGAAAATACTCAAGTAAAGTACAAGTACTTCAAACCGCTGAACTGAGTTAAATTAGATGGTTGACATTTGGTGGGAACTGTTGGGCTTCTGTAAATAGCATCACAGAGTACGGTCTAGACCTGCTCTTTTATGAAAAGCGCTGTGAGATAACTGTTGTTGTGATTTGGTGCTATATAAATAAATTGAATTGAATTGAACATTATTTTATATTTAGATTGTACTTTTCAAAGCGCTGCAGCTACATCTGGAAACCAGAGAGCAGAACTCTTTAAACTTGTTATGTTAAGAGACCCTTAAATCCTTAAAGCCTCTCCTTGGTGTCCAAGGCAGGTCCTTGGATCCTTGGATTGAGCTGTTCTGTCTGTGAATGTGTCTGCGCAGACGATGTTTCTTCATTAATCAGGACTTCGGATTTTTATAACCTTTAAACTAAAGTTTGGAAGCTGTATTAGTATCCCAGGTCTTTTCCAGGTCTTTTCCAGGACCTGTGTGAGTGTTTCTGTGTGTTTCCTGGGTGGATCAGATGGAGCTGATAACCACAGCAGCTAGCAGTGCTATCACAGCCACTTCCTGTTTACGCTGCGTCACGCCTAGCGCTCTGATGTTTGAACAGCTCACGTGACGGCTTTCAGAAACACACATCAGGTTTCTACACAGTGATTCATTACATGAAGTCTTCCCCTGGAAAATCAGGGTCAGTGAAACGCAGGCGCATCTCAGTCTGAAGATCACAGAAAGATTCTGGATTCATCCCACACAGAGTGAAATAATTCAGACCTTTGCTTTGTTTTGATCTCCAGCATCTTAAAAGCTAGTAGACGTTTAAAATGAAGGATTTATAAAACAGAACGGCCGACCTGAGCAGAGCTCTGATCAGCTGTCACAGCTGCGCTGAACCTCTCAGGCTGCTTCTGCTGCTTTTCCAGATGATGCACCAGGACATCAGAATCAGACAGAACAAAGACGCTTTCTGGACGATTTCTGTTTCCTGCTGTAGTTTTTAGCTGCGGTCAGCAGTCGGTGTGCAGGTGTTGCTTTGGAACCAGGATTTAGGAAGTGAGCCCAGAGGCTCGTAGAGGAAACTCTTGGAGCTGATCAGAAACACGTCGACATCGACTCTGAAAGTGCCTGAGCAGCAGTGAAGGTTGTTTTCCCATCACTGATTGGACGACACGTCCAGGGCTCGACATGGCTGGTGGTTTTCCAAAGTTACTCGCCACATTTTTGTTGATGGGAAATTACGTTTTATACGATTAAAGTTGACCAGTGAGCAAACACTTTGTGCAGGTAGTACTCATGGGAGTTTGTTTGTTATTTCAGATGCCTTTTGACAAGAGTACAGTTTTTGCTCTGTCTCTACATCACAGGAACAACTTCTGTCCACTGACTGCCTGGAGGGTAGCTAGTGTTTGGAAGGGAGAGGAGAGCTGTGTGCTGCAGCTCGCTGTTTCTGAGGGCGTGTCCGAGTCGCCGCTTGGCGAGCGTTATATGAGGCGCGTTTAGCGGCTGGACTACAAATGAGCTGTTTTCAGTTCAGAGCAGAGTTTTCTGTGGGAGATGGGAACTCACTTTGGGCTTTTTCACTTTGCAAACCTGTTACAGCACAAAAAAGATGTAAACTCAATAAAGGAGAGGGGAAAAGCAGAATAGCGCCTCTTTAAAGCTAAACGTGATGTGGTGATGCTGAACCAGGTGCTGTGTTTGATTCCCAGAACTTCTGCTCCAACTCGACGGTGCTGAGGACTCGGACAGCGTGTCACTCCTGCAGCATCACCCTGGTGATATCCTGCCCATCAGGATTCAAACAGACCCCCAGATCCACATCCCAGGACTGCAAGTGAGGAACCCGACTCTGTTACGCACACAGTAACGACACAAACAGGAGCCCTCACACGGCGGCAAACATCACACACATCAGATCGTTCACAGTTTTCAGTCCTGAAGATCATTTCTTTGTTTGCTCAGGACCATGATCACATGCTCGAGACGTAACAGATAGTTCAGTAACCCGCCAGGCCGGAGTCCCAGCACCGACATGTCTTTAAACATCAGCACCAGCGTGTCCAGAAACCGGTTTTCTCTGTGCAGGTACTACATCAAGACCGCCAGTCTGAAGCTGTCCATCAACGGCTGCTCCTTCGAGTGCTACAGAGAGCAGGAGGTGAAGAGCTGCTGTCCAGGTTTCTGGGGTCCAGACTGCATCGGTGAGTACACAACAAACCTAAAGGGCTCGTCCTCTGACCACAGCATAGATTGACCCTGATACGTTAAGGTTTTGACCTGTTGGTGGCGCTAGAGGGAAGGTCTCTGGGTCACCGACACCTGATGGTTCATGGAGAGCAGGACGTGTGTGACAGGTCAGTCAGAATGACAAAGACCAGGAGAATCAGTATTTTCCAGTGAGGTATTAGTACTTTTACTGAAGTAGACTTCATCCACAGCTGCTGACTGAACGTTTAAAGGCTGTTTGTCTTTGATGAGGAGTTGCTGAGTGTGGAGGATTCCTCAAGGTGACTCCCGTCGCATGTTCAGTCCCGCAGGATGCAGATCATCCTGCAGGAACCAGGACTTCCTTCCTCTGTACTGATCCTCGGTCAGCGGGACAGAAATGTGCTGACGGTCACACATGGAGGTGGATTGACTGGAAGCCTCATGTTTAACCCTGAAACACACAAACATACCGATTCAGACCGTCCACTGTGTCTCTTCAGTCCGCCAGACTCTGAGTTCTCTGCTGGACTCTTGTGGTCCTGAAGATAAATGTTGTGACAGTCAGTCAGATTTGTTGTCTGAGAGGACTGCAGTGGCGAGGAGGAAACAGAGCTGGATGGTGAAGGGATGACATGGACAGATAAGAAAGGGAAGAGGGGCAGGAAGGAGCTCTGCAGACTGTTTCCTGTTGTGTTCTCAGCGAGGTGTGAATGTGCTATTTGTGTTTCAGAGTGTCCCGATCGGGCCGACAGACCCTGCAGCAACAGAGGACTCTGTTCTGATGGGCTGGGAGGAAACGGAACCTGCAGCTGCCAGGTAACCAGACGCACACCTGCGTACAACAACACACTGAGAGGACTCAGCCAGAGGAGGTGTGACCGCAGGTCTCACTAAGCTGGTTCTAGTTTTTCTTTGGTGAAACCTTTTATTAGGTCCTTTCACAGATTCTACTAAGATTTCTACAAATTAAAGAGTTTCTCTAAAACCTTTATGTGTTTGTAGTAATTATTTAAGAGGTTCAGGTTCTAGTGGTTACTGAGATGGTTCTAGAGGTATGGATGTGCTTCTGCTCTTCCTTTGGGAGGTTCTAGGTTTTAAGGTAACATTAGATGGTTCTAGTCATCCTTTTAGAGGTTCTGTTGGACACTGGTGAGGTTAAAGGGATTTGTAGATGGTGGTCCTTTCTGGAGCTTCTAGCGTTCATTGATATCATTAAGCAGGTTCTAGTTTTCCTTTAGGAGATTAAGGGGTCCTTTAGATGGTTCCACCGACAAGTATACCTGAAGCCGTTCTGGTGGCCTATGGTGGAACAACTCATTACTAACACGCATGTTGTTGTCCTTTTTGTGATTCCAGAAGTTCTTTTGGAGGTTCTAGTGGTCATTAACTTGGCTTTAAGGGTATGTTAGGTGGTTCAAGTGGTACATTAGCTGATTCTAATGGTCACTGAGGAGAGTTTAAGGTTACATTAGACGGTTTTAGTCATCCCCTTGGAGGTTCTGGTGGTCATTGATTATCATTAAGGAGGTTCCAGGTTTCCTTTAGGAGATTTAGGGGGAGTCTCTTAGATAGTTTCACAGACAGTGGTGGTTCTGGCAAAACATTCTTGAATCTAGTCATCTTTTAGGAGGTTCCTGGGGTACGATAGGTGGTTCTTGACGTGCTTTGGGATGTTGTGCTTGTCAGTGAGGAGGTTCTTGGGAACGTCTATGTGGTTCTAGTAATCGTAAGAGGTTCTTCTGCCACTGAGCAGGTTCTAGGGATCCGTTCAGTGGATCCTTTAAAAGGAAGTATTTGTGACTGCAGATGAATTTATAAAGATTTTATCTTCGTGTGTATGTGTGTGTGATGGATTCAGGTGGGCTTTGCAGGAACAGCGTGTGAGGACTGTGCACCTGGTCGATATGGTCCCACCTGTAGTTCAGGTAAGTGTTCAGGTGACATCAGTCATCACAGTTTCCTCAGAATCGTTCACTTTTTATTCCTCATACATGTCTTCTTCTGTGTTTTCGGGTTCTGCAGAGTGCTCATGTGTCCACGGTCTGTGTGACTCTGGTTTGAAAGGTTCTGGTACCTGCACCTGTTTCTCTGGATACAAAGGTCCAAACTGTGATCAAGGTCAGTCAGTTATTCTGTTTCTGGTATCTGGACCCAGTCAACCCGTTCTCCCTCCCCGACTCGTCACATATGGACGCATGGTCAAGACCCATCGGCATCAGTTTGTAACGCACTGGGGATCCCTATAGCGTTGTAGTTCAGCGCAGTGGGGGAAGCCCTGTGGCGTCAGTTTATGACGGTAAAAGTAGATGTATGATATTTAACAGAAAAGACTGAGGTGGTTGGGGTGGATGGAGGGCCAGAACCCGGGCTTTGAGACTATATTAAATAGTTGTGTTTGTTACGTGAGTTACGTAGATAGAGTAAGGTATGCAAATGACCTAAGTTAACTAATGTGTTAACTGACATGCCAACTTTACTACTTTAATAACATGGTGTTTCAAAATGTTGATGTTTTATAACTCTTGGGTTTTATTTTGAATGTCTAACCGGACGTTGCATATTTGTTGTAAGCGTAACTTGACCGCGGAGCCTTAAACGTCTTAAATGAGGCTAAAGGGGTACCCATGGCGTTAGAAAGCAACGCCAAAGGGCCTTGACCAAGAGTCCATATGTGACGAGTCGGGAGTGAGAATGTGTTGACCCAGTACCTGGCACCTTGTACCTGTTTCTGTTTGAAGTTACCTCTATCTTCTACCTGTCACCTTTTACCTGTGCTGGCACTGTTGTGTTTTTCAGAGCTATTGTGTGCGACTCTCAGCTGCCTGTCACCTGGACTGTTACTGTTACTGTGCTGAAACTGTCCTGTGTTTCAGAGTTACCTGAGTGTGCCGCCCTCAGCTGTCAGCAGAACTCTCGGTGTATGGAGGAAGCTCTGACCGGACAGCTGGTGTGTCAGTGTCTGCCTGGTTACCAGAAATCAGGAGCTCAGTGTTTATGTGAGTTTGTGTTTTACCACCTGCTCAACCTACACATTAAAGGGATAGTACGCGATTGTATTCCATCACAATGTTAATTAAATTCAGCGAGAGTTTCCTCACAAGTTGTTTGGCTGTCTGGTTTTCCTACCCTGGCTCTGTAAACAGAAAACAAAGAAAGTGGTGTGGGCCTTCCCCACAACACTGTTCCAGCCAATCAGCAACAGTCAGTGCCCGTGCCCAGGATGTGATGGGGGCAGTGGGCTGGAGAGAGTTCTATACACCAGCACAGACCAACACTCCTTCTGCCGAACCACTTCCTGTCCCTTAAAATTCTGGATTGGGATCAAGACCAGAAACAAGAACAAGATTTTGATCATTCAGGAATATGAAAAGGAACAGAATTAGGATCAGGATCAAGATAAGGTGAAGGAATAGAATCTGGAGCTGAAAGAGAACCAGGAACATGAACAGTATCTGAAAAGGATTAAGTCTAGGAAGCATCGTCTGCGCTCACAGTCAAGTCCTGTGGGTTTAGACTTGAAACTTCATTGTGTTTTTTCTTTTCTGTTCCGCCTCCTCAGCCATAAACCCATGTCTCCAGCGGGTCTGTCATGTCCACGCCTCCTGTGTCCACACCGGTCCAAACCAGCACTTCTGTGCCTGTAACGAGGGTTACAGTGGGGACGGACGAGTCTGCATGGCCATCGATCCCTGTCAGACCAAACAGGGAGGCTGCTCAGCCGATTCTGCACGCTGTGTCTACGACGGACCGGGAAAGGTTAGGAAATACTGAGGATCAGGTTCAGGAAGAGGGTCAGGATCGGGAACAGAATGAGGTTCAGGAACAGGTCAGGATCAGGAACAGAATGAGGTTCAGGAACAGAATGAGGTTCGGGAACAAGGTCAGGATCAGGAACAGAATGAGGTTCGGGAACAAGGTCAGGATCAGGAACAGAATGAGGTTCGGGAACAAGGTCAGGATCAGGAACAGAATGAGGTTCGGGAACAAGGTCAGGATCAGGAACAGAATGAGGTTCGGGAACAAGGTCAGGAACAGGTCAGGATCAGGAACAGAATGAAGTTCGGGAACAAGGTCAGGATCAGGAACAGAATGAGGTTCAGGAACAAGGTCAGGAACAGGTCAGGATCAGGAACAGAATGAGGTTCGGGAACAAGGTCAGGATCAGGAACAGGTCAGGATCAGGAAAACATCAGAATCAGAAACAGAATGTGGTTAAGGAACAAGGTCAGGATCAGGAACAGAATGAGGTTCAGGAACAAGGTCAGGATCAGGAACAGAATCGGGTTCAGGAACAAGAACAGGAAGATATTCAGAATCAGGATTAGAAACACGTTATAGAACAAAGAATCGGCATTAATTCGATAACTGTTTTTATTTTATTGGCAGACTCATTTGTACTGTGGCTGTAATGATCTGCAGCCTGTAGGGGGCAGCAGAGGAATCTAATTCTGTGTCCTGGCTGTGTTTTGTTTAGTCTCACTGCGAGTGTCTTCCTGGTTTTGACAACCTGTCGAACGGTGGCTGCAGCCTGAAGGACTCCTGTAGACCTGATTCCTGTCACAAGAACGCCAACTGTGCCACGGTGGGCCCAGGAAGAGTCGAGTCAGTCACTTTATCTTCTTTATTTTCACTACTTCTTCTACTGCTTGTTTTCAACATGGATCACAGTATTGACGTGGGTTCGTCTCCTGTCCTCCCAGGTGCACCTGTCTTCAGGGTTACATTGGCAACGGTAAATTATGTTATGGGAACATCATCCAGCGTCTGAACAGTCTGAACACAGAACCTGGAGGACAGTGGGTCGGTCAGCTGAGCAACGCCATCACGCTGTTCGGTACGACGACGATTTAGTCACTGAAATTCAAACATTTCATTCATTTGTCATGAATTTATCAATAATTTATGTTGGAAATAAAGACAAAAAGAGGATCCCTCCAAAGAAGTGGAACCATTTGTTCACCCTTACCTGAACCATAGTTTACTTTCCCTGTCCGTAACCATAATGAAGTTTCCAGGAGCAGATACTACAGTAACTGAGAATGTTCAAACATTCGAAGTATTTCTGATGTGTCTCACATGAACAGATATAACATTCAGTCTGTGTGTTTTCAGGTTCTTTTTCATGGCCTCTGCAGAATTTGGGTCCTTTCACTGTTTTTGTCCCGATCAATAAAGGCTTCAAAGGAACTCCAGTAAGAATCACATCAAATAAACACATATGGAGGCACCAAGAGGCCATACGTTCATATAATTTGGAACTTTTTCTTCCTTCCTGTTGTCTCTGACAGTATTTCACTTTGAAGGTTCATTTCAGAGACAAACATTTCTACAATGAAAATAAAATCAGGATAAAATGAAACCAAGCTCTGGTTTAAATAAGCTGATTAAAGAATGTAATGTTTTCGTCTGTGTGCTGACCAGGTGAGGACTCTGACAGCTGACTTGTCCAAAGCCAAATACCTGTGTAAGATGCACCTGGTTGCCGGGGTGATGCCCTTTGACACTCTGAAGAAAACCGACGTTTTTTACACTCTGACCGGAAAACCAGCTGAGACGGACATATCAGAGGGGGTGAGTTGGTTCTGAATATGAAACATTAAAGCATCACAAGAGGAACTTTCTGAAAGCAACAAAGCCATCGGGCACCGCCACATTACACAGCGAGTGTCAGTAAAAACAATGAGAATCAGATGTGATGGTTTTTGTAGGGTCAGGGTTTTAAATAAGGCTCCGAGATCCTTCAACAAGTATTAGTATGGAGTCCAGACATTTATTATGACCCGGACTCAAGGGAAGCAACAGAAGAGTCAAACAACAAGCTTACTGCAAATACAGTGAACAAAAAGGCAACAGGTACTGAGGGGGTGCGGGTGGAGCTGGTACTGAGGGGGTGCGGGTGGTGGTGCTGGTACTGAGGGGGTACTGAGGGGGTGCGGGTGGAGCTGGTATTGAGGGGGGTGTGAAAAATCAGTGGTGCATGGAGGGAGGTGTTCCAGGTTACCTGCGGGACACAGAACAGATGTAGAGTCTGAGTCCAGGTTCAGTGTCTGATGTCAGTCAAAGCCTCCAGAAACCTGCAGTCCAGAGAAGCTTCTCTCCAAACACCAGCTGCTTTTCTTTCTGTTCTCCTGCAGGACTCTCAGACTAAAATCCGGATCCATGGCAGCAGGAAAAAAGGTGTGATCATCCAGTCGGACGTGGTCGCATCCAACGGGATGATTCACATCATCAATAAGCTGATGGACAGCGTCCCCCCCACAGTGGAGAGCGACACACAGGTGAAAACCCAGAGAGGACTTCATGTCAAAGAACTAACTCACTCGTTTGTCTCTTTACGTGAACGTCTGCATGTTTCCTGCAGGAGAACCTGATGAAGATCATTTCTGACTACGGCAAATTCGACAAGTTCAAGTCTTTATTGGAGGTACGAGGACCACCATCATCTACTCTGAGTAGATCTACTGAACTGCAACATGCATCTACAGTAAGGGTTTCTATGTCTCACATTTACTGATGGACCACTTTCTCTGCAGAAAACTAACTTGGCGTCACTCCTGGACCTTCCTGGTCCCATCACCGTCTTTGCTCCCAGCAGTTCAGCCTTTGATGCGATGACTGAAGGTCACCTGCAGTTCCTCAGCAGTGCTGAAGTAAGAACCACTCAACACCCACAGAACCAGGTCTGAACAACTAAACGATCCACAAACATTATCATTGTTCTCCACCTTCAGGGTCACAGCAAACTGGTGGAGCTGCTCAGGAACCACATCATCCCGTCCACCGCGGTCAGTACGGCCGATCTCTGAGCTTTTATTCTGAAGGTACCTTTTGTGATGGTTCATGTGATGATGACTGTTTTTCCCGCTTTGAAGCTGGAGGTCTATAACGCCGTGTCCAGACCCAGGATTGTGACAATGGCCAATCAGGTTCTGACGATAAACGTGACAGAAAACGTAAGTGTGGACCTTAAAGATCTCTCTCCGTGTTGAGCTCACTGAGACCTCAAAGTCCTTCCATCAACCATTTTAAGATCCCAACATCCCTGCAGCAACCGCTGCTCCTCTTGTAAGAGGACGGCTGTCACATGACAAAATAATAAGAGAAAAGGCGGGAATGTTTTTGTTTGTGAATTTAGTTCAGTATCATTTAGACTCATTCTGACTTTCTCATAATTTAATTCAATTCAATTCAATTTTTAACTCACAGCGCTTTTCATACTCTATGATGATATTTACAGAAGCCCAACAGTTCCCACCAAGAGCAGCACTAGGAGACAGAGGCAAGGAAAAACTTCCTTTAAGAGGCAGAAACCTCGAGCAGAACCATGACTCAGGGTGGGCGGCAGAGAGAGAGAGAGGGAGAGAGAGAGAGAGAGAGAGAGAGAGAGAGAGGAGGGATGGAAGAGAGAGAGAGAGAGAGAGAGAGAGAGAGAGGGAGAGGGAGAGGGAGAGGGAGGGGGAGAGGGAGAGAGGGAAGGAGAGAGAGAGAGAGAGGAGGCAGCCTACACAATATCCACACAGAGGTACAGACAGTAAAGGTGATGTTGCTATAGACTAAATGAAAAATGGTACAGATATTTACAGTAGTGTTAATGATAACAATCGTAATGTTAATGATTATAATAACAATAATAACAACAGGACTAGCAACAATAGTCGTTGCAGCAGAGGGTGTCGAGCAGGAACACGGGGGCAGCAGGTGACCCGCAACCACAGATCCAGACTCCACAGCTCCAGAGCCAGAAACACCTGCAGGAAGTGACAGGAGGAGAGAGGAGAGAGACGAGAAAGCACAAGACTACCAGAAAGGGGAGAAGTTGTGTTAGTAACATGCAATAATGGGATGAGCGCAGTGCTCTGGTGGGGTAGTAAGGTACTATGAGCTCTTTAAGATAAGATGGTGCCTGACCATTAAGAGCTTTGTAGGTAAGAAGAATGATTTTAAATTCTATTCTGGATTTTACTGGAAGCCAATGCAAAGAAGCTAAGACAGGAGAAATGTGATCTCTTTTCCTGGTTCCTGTCAGAACACGTGCTGCAGCATTCTGGATCAGCTGAAGAGTCTTAATGGACTTTTTCGAGCAGCCTGATAATAAGGAATTGCAGTAATCCAGCCTAGAAGTAACAAATGCATGGACTAGTTTTTCTGCATCATTTTTAGACAGGATGTTCCTGATTTTTGCAATATTACGTAGGTGAAAAAAGGCGGTCCTTGAAATTTGCTTAATGTGAGACTTAAACGACTTGTCCTGATCTCCAAGATTCCTCACAGTGGTGCTGGAGGCCACGGCGATGCCATCAAGGGAAACTATATCTTTAGAGTTTCATCTGGTTTGATCGATAGATATCATCTGCATAACAATGAAAGCTTATGGAATATTTCCTGATAATATTGCCTAAAGGAAGCATATATAAAGTGAAGAGGATTGGTCCGAGGACAGATCCTTGTGGAACTTTGGCATGCATGGAGGACTCATCGTCTGATGCAATAAGGAGGTCATTAGTAATTTTCACCAGTGCTGTCTCTGTGCTATGATGAGCTCTAAATCCTGACTGAAAATCCTCAAATAAACTATTGCTCTGTAGAAAGTCACACAGCTGTTTAGCAACTGCTTTCTCCAGAACCTTAGAGAGAAATGGAAGGTTAGATATAGGTCTATAGTTGGCTAAAACATCCGGATCAAGTTTGGGCTTTTTCAGAAGAGGTTTAATTACAGCTACTTTAAAGTACTGTGGCACATAGCCTGTTGATAGAGATAGATTGATCATATCTAGTATAGAGGTGCTGACTAAGGGTAGAACATCTTTAAGCAGCCTAGTCGGGATGGGGTCTAAGAGGCAGGTTGATGGTTTAGATGAAGAAATTATTGAAGTTAGTTGGTAAAGTTTGAGGGAAGCAAAACAGTCTAAACATGTATCTGGTTCTACAGCTGTTTCTAAGGTTCCTGAGTTAAGAGATAAGTCGGTGCCAGTTGAGGGCAGGTCTTGGTGAATTTTGTTCTAATAGCTAGAATTTTATCATTAAAGAAGCTCATGAAATCGTAACTACTGAGAGCTATGGGAATACTTGGCTCAATAGAGCTGTGACTCTCTGTCAGCCTGGCTACAGTGCTGAAAAGAAACCTGGGGTTGTTCCTATTTTCCTCTATTAATGACGAGTAGTACGCTGCTCTGGCATTACGGAGGGCCTTCCTATAAGTTTTAAGACTATCTTGCCAAATTAAACGAGAATTTTCCAGTTTGGTGGAACGCCAATTCCTCTCAAGTTTCCGTGATATTTGCTTTAATTTGCGAGTTTCAGTATTATACCATGGAGCTAAACGTCTTTGTTTTAGTATTTTCTTTTTTAGAGGGGTACAGAGTCGAGTGTCATTCGCAGCGAGCCTGCAGCACTATCAACAAGATGATCGATTTGGGAGGGACTGAAATTAGCATAGGAGTCCTCCGTTACTTTGTGACTAGATAATGAATTTAGAGCTGATGGAATCGCATCCTTAAATTTAGCTACAGCACTATCAGACAGACATCATCTATCAGACAAAACATTTTGCCCAATGGCGAGTAGTTCAGCAATACAAACTCAAAAGTTATCAAACAGTGAAGAACACACAACAACAACAGATAAAGAGGGATTCTGTGGGAACACTATTAAATGTTCAATTTCAATACCATACACCAAAACAAGGTCAGGGTGTGGTTAAAACAGTGAGTCGGTTCATGAACACTCTGAGAGAAGCCAATGGAATCTAACAAAGAGATAAACGCAGTACTGAAGCTGTCATTCTCAACGTCCACATGAATATTAAAATCCCTACAATAATAACTTTGTCCGTTTTAAGGACTAAAGTTGACAAAAACTCTGCAAATTAGATAAGAATTCAGAGTACGGAACAGGTGCTCGGTACACTATAACAAAAAGAATTGGTTGCAGTGATTTCCAACTTGGGTGCGAAAGACTAAGAACAAGACTTTCAAATGAGTTATAGTTTGGTTTAGGTTTAGAGCTGATTAGTAGGCTAGAGTTGAAGATAGCTGCAACTCCACCTCCTCGGCCTGTGCCTCGAGGAATGTGAGTATTAATATGACTGGGAGGGGTGGATTCATTTAGGCTAACATATTCTCCATCACCCAGCCAGGTTTCAGTAAGACCAAATAAATCAATATCATAATCTGATATTAGTTCATTTACTAGTACACCTTTAGAAGAGAGAGATCTGATGTTTAAGAGTCCACATTTAACTCTCCTATTCGTTTGCACTATTGCTCTTGTGGTTTTAATTTTTATGAGGTTTTTATGCACAGCTCCTCTTCTGTTTACCTTTTTAAATAATTTCGATGGTCGGGGGGCAGACACCGTCACTATAGGATTTTCACTAAGTAACTCCTGAAATGGAGGAGCAGAGAAGTGTGTTAGACTGCGACTCTTCCTCCTGCTCTTTTACTACAAAGAGTTTCCTTTCAGACGAGACCAGGACCGTGACTGAAGTCTAAAGGCTTCAAGAACAGGAAGTGTTTCATTTGCAGGCTTGTGCACAAACAACTTTCTTCCTGCAGTTGATTCACTCTGTGGTCATGCAGTTGTATTAATACAGAATGAACAGTTACATCTCAGACTCCGATCACATCACATCGCGAAAGAAAAGAAATGACTATTAAAAAGGTTTTAATCTAGTTGATGATAATAGACTGATACTCTGCTGATCTGTGAGACGCGTGTTTCTTCTTCAGGGTCAGATCTTGGTCAACGGGGCGGCCGTGTTGGAGGCGGCAGTGGAAGCTAACAACGGACGTCTGTATCTATTAGATGGAGTTCTGACTCCGCCCTCCATCAAACCGGTGCTGCCCCACAGGTGTGACATCACCGAGACCAAAATCATCCAGGTGAGCTTCAGCAGCAGACATGTTGCTTCTTCCAGAGTTTGTTCTGGCTCCTGACTTTGACTTCATTAACTCTGTTGAACAGATTACATTCATTTACATTTATTCATTTAGCCGACGCTTTTATCCAAAGCGACTTACAACTGATGTCAGAGGTCGCACACCTCTGGAGCAACCAGGGGTTAAGTGTCCTGCTCAGGGACATACTGGTGGACGTGTCACACTGGGAATTGAACCCAAGTCTCTCACACCAAAGGCATGTGTCTTATCCACTGTTCCACTGCTGCTTCTTATCAATGAATCAAGTCAAACATTTTATTATTATTCTGACCAATCATGAGCTGCAGTGTGGTGGAATAAAATTTTGCATTAAAGCAGTAATTAGTTGGCCTGGTCCGGGCCATGGTTATCTCTCTGCCCTCCTAGCAGGTCTTCCAGCTCGTGCAGTGAAACCCCTACAAATCAGAACGTAGCGTCTGGTTTTTGATCAGCCCAAAAGGACTCATGTCCCTCCATTACTCAGTGACCTCTACTGGCTCCCCGGGGCCTCCACAATCAAATCCAAGTCCCTAATGCTGAATACAGAGTGATTCCTGGGTCCGCACCATCTACCTAACCTCCATAATACAAGCTTACGTTGCTTCTGGGCTCCTCCAGCGAACGCCGCCTGCTCTGCCATCCCCTCACACAAAGCGACCCCAGTCCCTGTTCTCATCTGTGACACCACGACGGTGGAACGAGCTGCCGCACGCCATCAGAGCAGGGGCGTCCCTCTCTGACTTCAAGAAGCTCCTCCTTACAGTTCTCTTGCGTTGATGGCACTTTTGTTAACTCTTAATTCTTCCCGTAGGTGCTAACAGCTCTTACTAGCATGGATTGTCAGTAAAAGCTAAAGAGATAAGATAAAAGCTTCTGCCAAATGAGTAAATGTAAATGTGGTGTGTTTTTCAGGGTGAATGTGTCAGCTGCTCGAAGGTCAAACTGTCTCAGTGCACGTCTGGAGTTCATACAGTAAGACGTCCCACTCTGTTTATTATCCCTCTCTTTGATATTATATCGTTATTTATTTCAGTCTGAATCCAGAAACATGATCCATCTCTTTATTGATCAGGGCTTGTCCATCTTCGGCTGTCATTACACTCTGTCCATCGGCCCATCAGCGGTTAGAATCCCGGCAACCGGCTGCAGACCTCGCTGCAACGCAACGGTCACGGTAATCAATCACATGGATCTAGTCCTGCAGCAGATACACGTTCACTAAACTTAGAATAACGGAGCCTGTGAATATGTACATCATATTTCTTCATATGAAGGAGGTGTTAACTCGCCGATGTGCTTCTGTGTTCAGACTCCGGCATGTTGTAAAGGTTTCTACGGTCCGGACTGCAGTCCCTGTCCAGGTGGATACCAGACTCCGTGCTCCGGACACGGTCAGGTAGATTCAGTATCAACACACTGAAACACGCTCTTATCAAGTCCTCAACACTTCCTGAGTACACCAGGCGTGAAACGTCTGCGGTGGTTACAGGGGCTACAGGTCACAGACCGGAGATCCGCCACAAACTGAACTCACTGTCTCTGAAACCCAGTAGGCAGGTTAGAGATCCAGGTGTCACCTTAGATCCAGAACTCCACTTCACAAGCCACAGTCCAAGTAAAACCAGGACTGCGTCTTCCTACCCAAAGATATAGAGTTAAATCCATCCGGTTCAGTCCTCCCGCTCCTGCAGGCGACTGTAACGCCCCTGTGTGTTTCCTGTTTGCAGTGTTTGGAGGGCCTCGGAGGAAACGGATCCTGTGTCTGTGATTCCAACTTCAGCGGCTCTCGCTGTCAGTACTGCTCCTCCTCCAACAAATATGGACCAAACTGTGACAGAAGTAAGTCTGAGTCGTCCGCTCCTGTGACATCATTCAGGTCTGTGTGATGTCAGGATGATGAGAGCTCACCTGTCTGTCCTCAGCCTGTCCCTGTATCCACGGTCAGTGTGACAACCGCCCCGACTCAGACGGTCGATGTAAGCTGGACTCCTGTCTGACGGGTTTCACCGGTCGGTTCTGCGATCGCAGGACGACGGCCTGCGGCGTTCAGGTTCAGTTCTGTCACGCTCATTCAGACTGCGTCTTCAGCCAGGGAACCACCAGGTGAGTTCACCTGCATCCATCACACTCAGGTTTAACACTGAGTCTCGTTTCTTCACTTCAACCCCAAAGATCCAACTTCTGATGGAAAGTTTACGGGAAACTTAACCCTCGCTGGTACCAGCTCGACTCGCCTCTACTCGACATGCGTTTGTTTCCTTAAATCTGTTTTCCATTGCAGATATAGTACCACCTCAAAGTAGCAGGTCATCGTAGCGATGCCGCACACACACACCCCGCCTCTCGACCGTTCCAACCCGTTCTCACTCCCAAGTCGTCACATATGGACGCATGGTCAAGAGCCATCGTTGTCAGTGTGTGACGCACTGGTGATCCCTTTACCGTCATAGGTCAGCTCAGTGGGGGAAGCCCTGTAGATTTACCGTTTTTGACGGTAAAGGCAGGTTTAAGATATTTAACAGAAAAGACTGAGTAAGGAGGTGGATGGAGGGCCAGAACCCGGACTTTGAACCAGGAGACGGAGTTCGTGTCACGTGTGAAGCAAAAAGTCGACATTAAATTTTTATTTAGGTAAATTGACGTAAGTGACGTTAGTTAACTTACGTGTAAACTGACGTACGTAGTTATTTTAACCCAAACCATGATCTTTTCCTAACCTTAACCAAGTAGTTTTGTTGCCTAAACCTAACCAAACTGCAACGTTTCACGACTTTAATAACACGCCGTTTCAAAATTGTGATGTTTCAAAACACTAGGGTTTTTATTTTGAAAGTCTAACTGGACGTTGCATATTTATTGTTGCTAACTTACCTAAGTTTATTTTGTTGTGCTAAACATTGCTAACTTGACTGCGGAGC